TTCAATCTAATATGAGAGCCAGTACAATAGTACAGTGGGTAGAGTGCTTGCCTCGCACCCAACCAACCCCAAGTTGATCATAAGCATCCCATATTGTCCCTGGACCTCCACCAGAAGTAGCTCCTGAGTGCAGACCCAGGAGTAACCCCTGAGTACTCCCGTTGTAACTAAAAATCAAAACAAAAAATCTAATTTGAGAAATTGCATGTTTTCACTTCTGTATGCAATAAAAGTGTTGATAAAGAAAATAAAAATTGGTGGTAATATTTACTCAGTTTTGAAAGAGGTATCAGAAGAATCAGTGACCTCTAGTCGCTATTCACTCGGATATTTCACAAGGCTTTGGAAGATGTTTAACAGAACTGCTAGCTAATAAGAGTTAGAATAAATCATTCGATAAATCTGACCAAATATGAAGTCTTGAGCTGCCAGAGAAGCAGACTTCCTTCGACTACAATGCTTTTACTTCTCTCTGTCACCATAGTTTTACCTCTCTAGGAGTTAATTGTAATGCTGGGATTTCTAGGTAGATAGTAGTTACTTATCTCCAGGTCTATGAAATATTTTTCTCAATTACTTATATCCTGGGCTGGAGCGATAGCACAGCGGGTAGGGTGTTTGCCTTGCACGCAGCCAACATGGCCGACCCGAGTTCGATTCCTCCGCCCCTCTCGGAGAGCCCGGCAAGCTACCGAGAATATCTCGCCCGCACGGCAGAGCCTGGCAAGCCACCCGTGATGTATTCGATATGCCAAACACAGTAACAACAAAGTCTCCAATGGAGACGTTACTGGGCCCGCTCGAGCAAATCGATGAACAACGGGAGGGCCTTTACCTTTACCTTTACCTTTACTTATATCCTGAAAGTATAATCCTAATAGCACTGTAGCACTGTCCTACCGTTGTTCATCGATTTGCTCGAGCGGGCCCAGTAACGTCTCCATTGTAAGACTTGTTGCTATCGTGTCTATGAAAATAAATAAAAATAATCCAAATGAATAGAAAGACCAAAAGCATACAGGCCTTCAGGAATAAGCTGATTCATAGTTATTTAAAATAAATCTATTCTACTCTGATACACCCAGATTTTTAAAAGCTTTACTCCCAAGATGTGTGATTCTGTAAAGTTTCGGATCATCATTCTATCTTGTGTCTTTATTATTTCCCAGCAATCTTTTTATTATTATTATGATTTTGCTTCTTGAGTCATATACCCAGTGATACTCAGGGATTATACCCAGAGTATACCCTGGCTCTGCCCTCAGGAATTACTCCTGGCAGTGCTGGGGGTGGGGTGGCATATGGGATGTCAGGCATAGAATCTGGGTCAGCCACATGCAAGGCAAACACCCTACCCACCATACCATCACTCCAGCCCAGAACAATCTTCTTATTTCTTTAATTTGCTACAAAATTCGCTCTTTTTTCACGCTCTTCTGCGCACACCCTCTTTACCCAAAACACATTTTCTCTATTTTCTACTTAATCACTTAATCACTTAACTTCCCATTAGTCGTCGATTTGCTCGAGCGGGCGCCAGTAACGTCTCCATTTGTCCCTGTTGCGTGCTAGTGTAGCCCAATGGCATCTGTTCTATCTGGGATCATGAAGAGCCTCAAACCAATCGTTCATGATCTGCACGAAGAAGTCTGACCATCTGGTAGGTGGGCGGCCATGTGGTCTTTTGACATCCCGTGGAATCCAGTCAATAACAGCTCTAGTCCAGCGGTCGTCTTTAAATCTCATTACGTGACCAGCCCATCTGATTTTTGACACCTTGGCAAATGAGACAGCGTCCCTGATTCTTGATCGTCGACAGATGTTGGAACTCTGGATTTTTTCTCTCATTTGAGTGAAACATGATATTCCAAGCATAACTCTTTCTATTCTTCTTTGGGAGACCTGAATAGCATTCCCATCCTGTTTGCGTAGAGCCCAGGTCTCTGAGGCATATGTTAATGCAGGAAGAACAGTGGAATCAAAGAGATGTGCCCGGAGCCGGAGGTTCTTCGTCCTCTTAGCTATTTCTTCGACGTTCTTGAAGGCGTTCCAAGCCGCTCTCTTCTTCCTGCGCAGCTCGGGTGCCAGGTCATTTGTCATGTTGACTTCTCGACCTAGGTACACATAGCTGTTGCATTCGGAGATGGTCGTTCCATTGAGAGTGAATGGGGCGTCAGGAACGAGGCTGTTTCTCATAAACATTGTCTTCATAAGATTCAGCTGTAGTTCTACCTTTCCACACTCATGGTCAAAGTTGGCCAGCATTTGTGCCGCTTGGCTGATGTTTGGTGTTATTAAAACAATGTCATCAGCAAAGCGGAGGTGGTGTAATTGCCGACCATCTATCTTCACTCCCATTCCTTCCCATTCCAGTCGGCGCATGATGTTCTCGAGGGTGGCACTGAAGAGTTTCGGTGAAATGGTATCACCCTGCCGAACCCCTCTCTTGACATCAACGGTCACTTCTTTGTAGAATGGTGAGATCCTGGTAGTGAATCTGCAATACAGCTCACGGGGGATCCTGATGTATTGGGCTTGAATGCCCTGATTGGCTAGTGCTTCAATGACCGCTTCTGTCTCAACAGAATCAAAGGCCTTCTTTAAATCAATAAACGTTAAACAGAGCGGCATCTTGAAGACACTAAATACCCATCTTCAGGAATTGTCATACCATATTTGATAGGGTTCAAATAGGGTAACACCTACCAGGGTGATTAGAGGTCGTCCCAAAAGCCTCTATCCCTCTTGGAAAGACTGGCAAGCTACCGAGAGTATTCCGCCCGCATGGAAGAGCCTGGCAAGCTATCCGTTGTGTATTCGATATGCCAAAACCAGTCACTACAACTGGTCTCATTCACCTGACCCTGAAGGCTTCACCGACATGGCAGCACTGAGAAGGATGAGAAAGGAGAGGCCGACAAAAATCTCAAGGCCGAACTAGGCTGCCACAACGAAGGAAGACAAAAATGATCATCTGTACTTTCAATGCACGTAGGCTAGCATCAGATGCATCCATCGAGGACCTGATGGTACAAGCGCAAATGATCAAGTACGACATCATTGGTCTGACCGAGACAAGAAGGCACAAATCTCACCATGCCGTTTTCGACACTGGAGAAGAATTGTTCCTCGGAATATGCGATAAAAGAGGTGTCGGAGGTGTCGGTGTCCTTGTCAACACAAACTTGGCCAAGAGCATTGATTCATTCGAATGCCTAACAACCCGAATTGGACGTTTACATTTGAATAGATGTGGCTCACTGCCTGCATTTTTATCTTCCTTGTCTACGCACCAACATCTCATGATGAAAGAGAAATCGAGAAGTTCTACATGGAGCTGGAGAAGTTCTATAAAGAAGACCACATCTTCTACAAGATCATTGTGGGTGATTTTAATGCCAAGATAGGACCGAGAAGATCAGCTGAAGAACTTCACATCGGGACCCATGACCTAGAATGGAACGAACAGGGTGAGAGACTGTCTGAGTTCATCATGTCGACCAAGACCATTCATGGTAACTCACAGTTCCAGAAGACCGAATCTAACCATTGGACATGGGAGTCTCCTGGTGGACAATTCCACAACGAAATAGACCACATCATATTCAATCGACGGTTTTGCCTGACCGATGTCGCTGTTGTCCCAAAATTTCAAACAGGATCGGACCACCGTCTCCTTCGTGCAAAATTCTACTTCACAGAGCAGGGAGAAAGGGCTGCAAAGTTCAAAAAGAGAACTCCCAGAACGACCACCAACTGGGAACTCTTTGGCACTATTGCGGCAACATGGGAAGATGCCATTGTTGACAACATTGACGAGGAATACATCGACTGGTTCAGCACCTCCATGAGTGTGCGAGGAACGCCAAGAGAGTGATAGCCACAAAAAAACGCCTGTCTTTGAAAACTCTTGAGCTAATTCACCAGCGTGGTTTGGCGCATGCCTCAGGCAACCACAAGCTAATGTCCAAGCTCGCAAAGCAGTGCAGAGATGCGATCAAGGAAGACCTCAAAGAGAGAAGAGCAGAAGTACTGGTAGATGCGACAGAAGCTGGGAAAATTATTTGTTACGCCCGCCTGTCCTTCGCCAACTACAAGACCAAGATGACTGCCCTCCGACGTCCTGATGGATCCATCACATCCTCCAGAATGGCAATGGAGAAGATTATCCATGACTTCTACTCAAATCTCTTCGATAGCCATGTCCACTTGCCGACATACCAAATTCCACAGGATGGATATGTCGTTCCCAATGTTCTCCCTTCCGAAATCTGACACGCCATTTCGTCGGTAAAGAAACAAACATCACCCGGCCCAGACAAGGTCAGACCTGAACACCTGAGGAACCTGCCGTCAGTACTCATCAATACACTGGCTCGGCTCTTCACATGCTACCTGTCTGAATGCAAGGTTCCATCCCAATGGAAAACCAGCAGGACCGTACTACTGTTCAAGAAGGGAGACATCCATGACATTGGCAACTATCACCCGATCTGCCTATTGTCTGTCACCTACAAGTTGTTCACTGGAGTCATCCTAAATAGGATTGGCAGAACACTAGATGAAGGACAACCATGCGAGCAAGCCGGGTTCTGCAAAGGATTCAGCACCATCAACCATATCCACACGGTAACCAAGCTCATTAAGGTTTCTCGGGAGTTCAAGATGCCGCTCTATTTTCTACATTTAAACAATATCTACTTATGCTTCAGGTTACCAATTGAATATCTTTTTCAATAAGTTACTTCCAGATTTATCAACCAGATTAAGACCACTTTCTATATGTTTTATCTCAACAGTCAATTAATGTCTATACACCTTTTTGTTGAATCTACCTTCCTCACAGACTATTCATTTGAAGGAAGAATAGGTGCCTTACCTTATTTACACCTGTGATTTCAGCTACCTAAGATCTACGCCAGAAATCCAGATGCCTCTAAAATCTCTTTACTGACCAGCAGGATTCGCAGTGTCTCCCAACAACAACAACAACAAGAAAGATGCTGAAAAGTCAGCAAAAACCCAGTGAACCAACTCGGGGGAAAGGCAAAAAGAAGTGGTGCAAAGCCAAAGTTCAGGACAAGTTCAAAAACCGAGTCTTGTTTGACAAAAACCTAGTTTTGTTTGACAAAGTGCAGGACAAGTTCAAAAACCTCGTTTTGTTTATAACAAGCTCCGCAAGAAAGTCCCCAACTTCTTATAACCGTGCTGTTGTGTCTGAGAAACTGAAGACCCGGGGGTCCTTGGTCAGGGTGGAACTTCAGGATCTCCTTAATAAAGAACTTATTAAACTGATTTCAAATCACAGAGTTCAAGTACTTTACACCAGAAATACTAAGGGTGAGGACACTCCCGCTGCAAGGAAAGATGAGTAAGCGGGTCCCAATTATACATTTTTTTAAAATTAAGAACGTTATTAAATCAGAAAATAAATAGATAAATAAAAATAAAATGTTTTTACTTTCCCATCCATACCCCCCGGTAATCTTTATCTAGCCTGTGAAGGACTGAGAAAATCTCTCTGCTTTCACTACTGTTTTCTTCCAAATTTTCTGTCTTGGCCAAAGCCACAGTGTTTGAAAACAAAGGCAAGGAACTGATTCCTTGTTTTCTTCCTTCTTTTATGTCACCCCTCTACCAAGGGATGACTTGGTATTTCATCAACTTCAATGGCAGATGAATTTGCTGGAAAGTATAGGGTTAAGGAATATGTATGTGAGAGAGGGGGCTGATTAACAGTTTATCTCAACCTGTCAACCCACCTTACATTCATAGTTACCACTAATCCAAAATAGGATCTCCTTTCTTTTGACTCCTGGATCTTGTGTTCCATTATGCTCCGTTGTTATTAACTCCTTCTATGACTAAAGGTCTGATTATTTCACGAACTAGGAATTTTACCTGACAGCAATCAACTTTCAGCTTTCTCTGGACTTGCAGCCAACTATAGAATAACTCCTTGTCTATGGTTGAGTCTTGTTCCTTAGACATTTTATATCCTATATAAAGGTTGACCTCTTTGCATAACGTTTTCCCAGGAGTTGGCCAAAGCCAATTAAAAACCACTAAAGCCAATCTTTCCTTGGTCCTGTCTTGCATCTTTCTTTTTTCTTGTAAATGTTGATCCCTAAAAGAGTACATGATAAAGTTTCTGCATACAAATATCTATCTCAGAGTCTACTTCTTAGGAGACGTGTCCTGCAACAATCACCTTTACGCTTCCATTTATGATTTATGATTATATAATTTCTATTTATGATTACATCAATACATCTCCCAGTTTTAGACATAGAAGATGGTGTAGAAATTCCAGATTGCTTGGAGTCTTTCTTTAAACGAGTCTTTCTTTATACAAAAGAATGATAACTTATTTGTGTTAATTTTAGCAAAGGCACAATACAAGAAAGACAAAAATGATGTACCTTTTTCCTAAACAATAGGAGAATGGTTATGGGAATCCCTCATTTTTTAAAAAAATTTTGAATTGTCACAATTTAGCCTTTACAAAGGAACTATATAAGTATTTGCTTTTTGCTGACCAAAACAGATCCAAAGAAATTTTTCAGTTTTGTGACAAATGAAAACATTTTTAACTATTTTCATTGAGGTACCAGAATTTATAACACTGTTAATCATACTTATCATGAATATATCATTTTAATAAAACACCCATCACCAGGGAGTCTGCTTTTCTACACCAGTTTCTACACTCCTGTAAGCTCAGTCCAATAGAAAAAAATCTTCCATCTTTATGACTTTGACCATTTTTTGTTTCCTTACTATGTTCTTTTTTATCTTGCACATGAGAGAGCTATTCCTCTATTTTTATTGTAAAATAAAAATACACATACACACTAGAGTTGAATAGAGTTAATCTAGAATTCAAAAAATATATAAATTGATAAGGTATTTTTTTCAAAAATAACTTTTTTACAGGAATATCAACTAAAAACTAATGTTATGAACATTTCTGTGATAATAGTTAAAAATTATGGAACATAGCATATCCTACAAATGTAAATTTTAATAAGAGTAAAGAGAATTAAGAAAAACTTAAGAGGAAAATTTGAAAAGGCTTATGAAAGTATAAATGTTTGTTTTATCCTAAGAAAGGGAATATTGCCTTATGTTAGATAATATTATATTACAGATACTGCTTACATGTCTGCATTAGTGCACTAAAAATCTCTACGGATGCAAAAAAAATCACCTGATTAGATATAGTGCATTTAATATAAATGAAATGTTAATTTGTTATTGAAAATACATAAAATCCCTTAGCAAGCTAGAAGTAAACAAACTTTTCTTAATCTTGTAGAAGGTAACCATAAAAGTTCCATGAGTGAGTACCATAATCAATCCTAAGTGAGGAGTTTCACTTGCCTAAAAAGTAGAGTCGAAGTGACATCTGCAATTGTCTGTTTATTGCAGCACTCTTTACAATAGCCAGAATCTGGAAGAAACCTGAATGCCCAAGAACAGATGACTGGTTAAAGAAACTTTGGTACATTTACACAATGGAGTACTATGTAGCTGTTAGAAAAGACTAAGTCATGAAATTTACATACAAGTGGTACTACATGGAAAGTATCACGTTAAGCGAAATGACTCAGAAAGAGCGGAATAGACACAGAAAGACTGCATTCATCTGGGGAATATAAAGTAACAAAATAGGAGACTAACACCCAAGAATGGCTGAGATTAGTACCAGGAATTTTACTCCATGGCTTGGAGGCCAACCACATATGCTAGGGGAAAAGGGAGCTCAGATAGAGAAGGGAGCACCAAATAAAGGGTGTTGGGAGGATCCTCCCTGATGGGAGATGCGTGCTGAGAGTAGACTTTAGACTGAACATGATTGCCACTCAGTCTTTCTTTTGCAAACCACAACACCCAAAAGGAGAGAGAGAACAGAGGGGAATGTCCTGCCACAGAGCCAGGGTGGAATGGGGGGGATAGGGGATGGGAGGGATACTGGGATGCATGGTGGCGGGAAGTGGGCACTGGTGGAGGGATGGTATTTGATCATTGTATAATTGAAACCCAAGCACAAAAATGTGTAAGTCTGCAACTGTACCTCATCGTGTTTCACTATTAATTTTTTTTTCATTAAAAAAAAAAAGAAGCTCCTGTAACACTTCTTGCAAGACAGATTCAAGGCTATGAATTTCCTAAACTTGCCTGTCAGGGAAGCTGTGTCACTTTTTCAAATCTGAATAACGATTTAGCTGGATACCATATTCTGGAATGTCTTCATTTAAAGTATTTAACATTTGATTCATGACAGCTGTTCTAGAAGTTCTAGCATGTAACAAAGTGGCACAACAAAGCTCTTTTCCTGGGACCCACTTCTCACAGATTGTATGTTTATTATCTCATATTTTTAGTGATATTGGTGTTATCCTATGTATTTTTTGTATTATTTGGCATGATTAGTAGTTCAAATATTTGCAATATTTTCCCATATACATTAAAATACCAATTATTTCCTTGCCTTGCACCATTTCAGCTTATGAAAAATTGTATTGGAAGACTAATTTTGGATGACAGGAGAAATCAGTATATTTGAATATAATGGGAAAGTTGTTGAGTTAAAAATGGGAAAGAAGTTTAAATAAAGGTTGATAGTTTTTAAATACATATTATAACATTTTATAAGATGTTCTGAAAATCAAAATAATTTAAATAATATTGAAAAGTAGAGCTGATACTTTTTATGAGATTACAAAAAAACAGACTCAAAATATTTCATTGCTTTTCACTGGAAAAGTTAAAAAATTAAGTTAGAATAAAAGCAAATCCTTAATAAAGAAAGGCAAGTTGAAAAAAAATTCATTGTTTTTCAAATGGATAGAAACAATGTTCCCGCTGCGAGCCAGAAGTATTTCAGAAGTCATACAGTCTCAAATTCTACACAGTACAAGATTATTATTGCTTAGTTTCAGAACATGAAGTTGTATTGCTGATACTAGATTTATATTTTTGGTTTTTGTCTTTATTGATAGCTTTTAGTAAATATCAATGTGAGGTTCTGTGCACCTTATTAATAATAATATGTCATGTTCTTGATCTTTTATTATGTTTATACTGATACATTTTCATATCTTTTGCTTAATTTTGCCCCTGTAAATTATTACATTCATTTAGCACAATACCTAAAAGAGATACATTGGTTTACTTTAGTTTACTCTCAAATTAACACGACTTTTAGCAAAAGCTAGACTATCACCCTTATTAAAGAGGATGGTGGTAATTGTTTTTGAGGCTGTTTTGCCTCTGTCTGAGCACTAGGGCAATTTTATTCAGAACATGGGAATAAAAACAAAGTGATAACAAGAACGTCCCATCTTTTTAAGCGCTTCCTGTGTTCCAAGAATCATGCATCTGGCTTATTTAAATCTTTTACCCTTGTGAGGTAGGTACTTAATACCCACACTTTATGAATAAGAACCCTGAGGTTCAGAGAGGTTTAAGTAATTTGCCTAATAAGTCATGTTTGACCTTTCAAAGCTACACTGAAAACGTAAAGATTTTCACTGTAGGTCTTGACTCTCTTCTCTAGAAACCACCTCAATGCTCGCAATTTGCTCTTTGTGTAAGCAACTTAATTCCAGAACTTTTTTTTTCCCCCTGCCACTTAAAAACACTGCATATTCTTTCCCATTGCCAACTATTTCCCTTCTCTCAATGATCTTTCACTACTCAGCACTTGATCTCTTTGTTATCTCGTAGACTATGCTAACTGGAGGACTGGCTGCCAAATAAAATCACAGGAGGAAAAGATAAAGCATCTCATCTTTCCCTCTTAAGTCCCTGTTCCCTTCGACTTCCTTGTCAGTGAGTGTTCAAGTTCTCCGGTTTCCCCAGCCAGGCCCAGAGTTAAAAATAGCCTACTCTGCATGGTAGCAGAGGTGGCCCGTACCCTGGGTAGGAGAGTTCCACTCAGAACAACTGGTAAAGGCAGGCAGAGAAATAGTACAGAGGGTAGCACGCAGATCTGGTTAGTGGTTAGATCCTTGGCAGCCTATCTGGTCTCGCGGGCCTGCCTGGAGAACTCCCAGAGCAGCTAGGAGTAAGCCCTGAACACTCTTGGTGTGGCCTTTAAACAAGAACAAAAACAAACAAAAAAAGGACAACTGGTGGGGTGAGATGAGATGACCGAATTTTGGAAATTTGGAAATGAACAGGGAGAAAACCCGCTGCCTCTCCACTGCTAAGATTCTCAGACTTCATTGGGAGTTTAGTCTGTTTCTTTTACACAAGGCATGGCAGACGGAAATAATGTGTTTCCTCTTCTCAGATGCCTATAGTATAACTTAATGTTTCAAGGCAAAAATCAGTGTAATCATTGAGGTAGAAAGACCATTCAAGACTT